AGTGTTCCTATTGCTCGCTTTGAAATCGTTAAGTTTGTTAAACAAAACTTCGTTAAAGGTTTTACAAAATATAAATCAGATAATAAAACAAATTCTAAATTCAAAATTCGGGCATATAGGTGCTTATGTGCGAGTGGAGGATTTCGTTATTCAAAATTTGATGATTCTACGTACCGTCGTTTTTTCACAATGCGGGAAACATATATACATTGATACAGATTGTTCATAATTTAATTTCTTTTTATATTATACAGGGCGATAATATTTGTTAACAACAATTTAAAAAGTGATTTTTCATTTATAGCGAAACGCCACAAAATGCCGTTTTGGCATTAATAGCTCTTCTGGGCTACCGCCTCTTTGGGCTAATAAAAAAGGAAAGAAAATTATCCGCGCTCTTTCATATCTTTGTCCTTTGTCAAGCTCCTACCTTTGACGCCTTTTGAATTCTGTGCTTAAAATAAAACATTTATTTCAAAAATTACTAAAATTTAATATTATTACAACTTTTATGAAATTAGCATAGTTAAGATACATGCTAAGAATTGTAGACATACAGCTCATGAATTTTTCATGCATTAAACTAGTTACTTTGTTTGGGTATAATACATATTTATTTCTTCTTCAGTTGTCGTCTGGACTGAAATAATTGTCGCAATACCCTCTTGAATTTGATACAGTATTATATTCCTTATGTAGAAGAGAACGATACGCTAATACGAATAGATGTGGGATGTATTAAAGAAATCCAAAAGTAAATACTCTTGCTTATGTGTTTGGGAATTATTCTCAGCTTTCCGAATGTTTAAATGAGCAGTCTGGAAAGGTACAGTTATGGTCATAATTTTTTCATGTCTTTATTTATTTTGTCGCAAAATAAAATGCTACTCCAGAGTGCCACGCTGTTGTTTAGTTTGAATTTGCGAGGCACAAGCAATTTTCTTATTGTTTTTGTTTGTCTGAAGTGGATGGTATCCTGGGAAATTATTTTCTGAATTATAATCATATTTCAACATTTTCGAAAGCATTTTTTCTTTTTTAAAAATTACGTCGAAGTGGCAATGGGAATTGCTTGTGTCTTGCAAATGGCGCTTTGTTTACCCTGTGCAAACAAGGTAGCGTTTTCTATAATGTCCTGTTATTAATTTGTTTAATAACTCCAATTCAAGGAAAACAGCTTTGTGTTTCCCCACATTGGAAAGGATGTGTTATTAACAAGAATTATTACTTTTTTCTTGCTCATATTGTTTCTGCGAAGCATTGAATGCTGTCACATTGTTATTTTCATTTGCTAAAATGATGAATTATGCTTGTTTCCGATTATATGTTACAGATAAAAGGGCATATTTCGGATTTTAATTGAGAATATACAGTGTAATTAATTAAAGGCGATGAAAGATTTCCAAGCAAAAAAAATTATTATTGGATGCTTCACAGAAGAGTATACATCTGCAGTTTCACTGTAATTTAACATGTAGTCATTTTACTTCTGATTTGCTATCTCTTGCGAATTTCAAGTGGATAAAATAAAATGAACACAGAAAAGAAAGTTAAATTAAATTACAGCATGATCGTAATTTATATTCTCAAACCGGAATTGTTGTAATCTAATTCGAGTCATTGAACTGGCTTTGAAACACGAAAATTGATGAATTCTGTTCACATGTATTTTTTAAAGGCTTTGAGATCAAGATATAGTGAAGAGTAATGCGGAGCTTTCAATGTAACTAAATTCGTAAAAGACTGTTCTTAAACTAGCAGAATCTAGTGCGTCAAAAACATTTTTAAGACTAAGTTCGTACAAAATTAAAGAGTTGAACAAAAAAATTAAAAAAATTTACATTACGAACAAAGGGGCGTTATTTAACGTTTTGTGTGTTACCTTTACTTATTAAATATCGTGTTCTTCGCGCTTAAACCATAAAATTTAATTCAACATCAATATCACAAAATATTTAATAGAGCATATCTTTAGAATTTTCGACACACAGTCTCGCGCGCTGGAGAAAAAAAAATGTTTTTTTTATAATGTTGCCACGGCTCCCATTGAAATCGCTGAGTTTCTTAATCAAAAAATTCTTTAATGTTTGACAAAATATGAAACACGCAATAAAACAAATTCTAAATTCCAAAGTTGGGCTTCCAGGAGCCCACATTCGAATGGAGGACTACGTTATTGAAAATTTGATGTACTAGGTACCGTTTGTTTTTCACAGTGCGAGAAACATACATACATTCATGCAGATTTTTCATTATTTAATTTCTTTAAATATAGTGTAGGGCTCTAATATCGGGTGGCAACAATTTGAAAAGTGAACCGACACAAAATGCCAAAACGAAATTAATAGCCCTTCTGGGCAAATTGTCCCATAAATACATAAGTATATATGTTGCGGCCAAAGCCCGAAGTTCGGCCAGTTCCCGAATTGGCCGGCCATTTCGCACATTGGCCGCGGCGTGTGGCCAATGCCCGATGTACTGGAAATGAATAGCGTATATGCAACTTTGGCCGGCCACTTCCCGAAGTGCCCGGAACTCCCTGACCAATGTTCGATGTGCTGAAGCAAGACTGTTCGGTAGGTAGCGCAGCTGTCGATTCCGGGTGTGATGACGGCATGCACATGGTAGCAAGGACAGTGTGTGGTATATTTTCAGTGTATCTGGCATCCATGTATCGAATCGTGAATCTGGCAACGCGTTATTGTTTACGGGCCGCCAACTGAATGGTTTCGATTGCGGTTAGTGTGCTTTCCCCGGATAGGTAAGCCCTTTTAATATTCGTTTGTTTTGTTATACTATGGATCAAACTCAGTTTCAAGAATTTGTGCATGCTTTCCAAGCACAGCAACTACAATTTTTTGAGTAATTTCTCCTAACTCAAACTTCTAATGGCACTGAGTGATGCTCATGAGTGGTGCTCAGTGCCAAAGTACTGTTCAACCTTCCATAAATCCAATTTTACTTCAATAATTTGAAAATTTCGGTTCTAAAAAAAAAGAGTCCAAATGGGAACATCATATTTAAAAAATTGTCGAAATTTTAAATTTATTAATTTAACTTAACTAATATTTTAACACATCAAATGATTTTTTTGAAATAAAATTGGAGTGCTGATCTTACTTTGTTTATTCACAAAATGTGCAGACAGATATTTTCCGCTATAATAGATGTGTTATGTCGTGTAATTTTTTAAAATTAACAAGTAAAATTTAATTGTTCAGGAAAATTTTCTGTGTAAAAGAATAGATATCTAAATTCAAAATGTGTGTTTTCTAAAGTAATTAATAACTAATTAAATATTTTGTGCTGAAAAAATAATTTCTCTATCTTTAAACATATGCCTCAAATATTCATGTGAAGGACCATTCTTCCCATTTGGGAGCATCCTATAAATCTATAAAAAACATTTTCTTAAATGTAAGCACTATAATACTGCTTGATGAGCTAATTTCAAGCAATATATAGTGAAAACCTTTGTTTACACCTCAAAAAAGTTTTGGTACTTAAAGTGTTGATTGAATAGGTGCTTCTTATTTATGCTAGATTCTTTAGTTTCACCTAAAACTTATTACATGTACATTAATTGCTAAACCACGAAAGGGATCGCCGCGTGATTTGAAAGTATCGTATTGTTTTCCTATAGGTTTTTCTCCCATGGCTTCTCCTGACGAAACTAGTATGCTAGGCGAAGATGACGCACATGCAAATGCGGAACAAACTTTTGATATGAGAACCCTGTTCTTAAGTAAATTGAATATATTGCTGCAAGAAAAAGCAGATAATAGCTGGATCCTCAGCAGAGACAAGTACTGTACTTTCATAGAGGACGTTAAAAAGGCTACAGCAAATCAGAAAAAAAGAAAGTGTTGACTATCGTCGACTAAGAAAATATGTTGCTATTGAGGTTGACGGAAAAGAAAAACTTATTGCCCCAGTAACAGAAGACTATAGCGTTATTTTGTACTATGTGCACACAGATGAGTTATTCAACTTGCTGCATGATACTCACCTGAAAATTGGACATGGAGGTCACACAAGGATGGAGAAGGAGCTGCAAACGAAGTGCAAAAATGTCACTAGGGAAATCATTGCATTGTATCTCCGCTTATGCAAACCGTATCAGACCAAATTATCTAATTCTAAGAAAGTTCTAGTTTCTAAATCGTTGATATTTAAAGAATTTAACTCAAGATGCCAAGTAGATCTTATCGACATGCAAAGTAATCCAGACTGCGAATTCAAGTTTATACTCAATTACCAGGATTATTTAACAAAGTCCATATTATTGCGAGCTCTGAAAAGCAAAAGAGCAGAAGAAGCTGCTTACCAGCTACTGGATGTTTTCACCATCATAGGTGTTCCAAGCGTGCTTCAATCAGATAATGGAAGAGAATTTGCGAATCAAGTTATTAATGAACTCAAGAACATGTGGCCTAAATTGAAACTAGTTCATGGAAAGCCGAGGCATAGCCAAAGCCAAGGTTCAGTAGAACGTGCCAACCAAGATGTTTAAAATATGATTATGACATGGATGCAGACAAATAAATCTACACATTGAGCCGAGAGTCTCAGATTCATTCAATTCATGAAAAACCGTTCTTTTCATCAAGAAATTCAGCAGTCATTTTTATGAGGCTATGTTTGGCTACAAAGCAAAAGTATGACTGAGCACCTCAAATCTGCCCATAGAGGTTATCGATAACTTAGTTACAGACGAAGATCTCGAGAACGCCGAACAAAAAATGCATGATGCTGTAAATACAGCGACTTTCTCAGCAAACAAACCAGCTGCAGTGGCGACGGAGACATCGGAAAGTCCAGATCAGTTGTTTGACAATAAAAATGCGAACAAATTCTGTGTAGTATGTCAACAAGAGTGAATTTCAGCCCATTCTTGTGGATCCTGCGGAAAGGTTGTGCACACAATTTGTGGAATAAGTAATGAAGCAGTCGAAGGAGGAAAAATTACCTGTAGACTGTGTCATAATAAACAAGAAATCATGAGTAAGAGGTCAGCTGTCCATGCTAGCTTACAAACTCAAGGTGTCAAGACGCTAAAAAATTCCAATGCAAAATTTCCACCAGCGAAAGTTGGTGATAATGTACGCATCCGCATATCAGATGTTGACAGAAGTCGCGGTGATCCACGAAGCGTCCTTGCAGTTGTCATGAACATCGAGGGCGATTTCTACAAGCTAGAAACTGAACATGGTGTTCTCAAACAATACTCCAGAAGTGGTTTTTCCATTTTGCAAGAGAAACTACTTACATTGGCATCCGTGGGCATACAGGAAAAATCATTACGAACCGTTGCCTCTTCACAATCGCTGACCGGCAGCCAAGGTTACACTCGATGCAGTTGCACTACCAAGCGCTCAACAAATCGCTGCAGATGTAAAAATAACAAACGGCTGTGTAATTCGAAATATCATAATAAAAGTTCATCTTGTTGCAACAAGTGATAATACTAATAATTTTCTGTAATAAACTAATTCAGTAGATAATGTGATTATCTTTTTTTTTTTTTTTTTTTTTTTTTTTTTTTTTTTTTTATTTATTTATTACAGGGGAGAGGAAATTTTCATAAGAGACCAGGAGGTTTCTGGTACTATGAGATCCTTACTCACTAAAACTTCTCCCTTCAGACTACAGCCCACCTAGGGCCACCGTACCTACTTGGCCTTTGTTCCGAAGGACGCTTCTAGGCGCCTAAGAGGGTCGGATTCGTCGGAAAACTCTGTGGCAGCTATAATGTGATTATCATTAGCATTACGGTATACAAACACCCGAAATTTGCTCATGACCTTTTTCTTCTGACTTTGGCCGATCGCCTTATGCCATTTCGCGAACTGGCTGGCCAAAACCCGAAATCAAGAAAAGATCGGACATTGGCCGGTCATTGTGAGGCGATATTGGCTGTTTCGCGATTTGGCCGGCCAATTTGGGAACTGGCCGACTTCGGCTTTGACCGTAACATATACAACGTTTGACACGTTTCTGGATCTAGCTGCTTGATTGTTTTCGTAGAACTCAACATTTGGATTGCTGTTTAGGTCACCGGTTATGATTTTTTAAATCCATGTCCACTGCTATTGATATAATCACCACTGAAGCAGATTTTACTTTAGGAAAGAGAAAGTAGTCCGTAGGTGCCAAATCTGGTGAGCAAGGGAGATGGCTAAACGTTTTTACTCTCTTCTTTGCTATAAACTGCTTGTAGGAATAGAATTATATATCAGAGCATTGTTCTAAAGCAGAAATCATTTATTCTATTGAGTCTTTTCAGGCTTAACATGCCTAGTTCTTTTCAGAAGTCTGTCTGTTAAGACTGTGTAAAACATGAAATTCGCTAACTGCTTTCAGGAACAAATTTTTTACGAATTATTCTTTTCTACAACACGCCATCAATATGTTCTTAATCAAGATTTCTGAAAAAGAAAATTTTCTGGCGGTTATAAATCTACTCCAAGCAAGAATGACTATCATTTCGCCTATTCATAAGCAAAATACTAACGGAAATTTGTTTGAAAAGATTATTGTTTTTATGCTTTTCAAGAAAATTTTATTGCAATTCTTTGCTCAGCTTCAAAATCCGGGACTGCAGATATTCATTAGTAGTTGTAATTACCTTTGCAAAGAAAACTTTGTCCATAAGTAGACGATTATTTAGGAAAAGAAGTTGAGATAGCATAATAATAAATCGTATCAATTATTGTTGGCATGTTTGCTGCAGTGTCTTTTAATTAGTTCTAGAATTTCGTAGGTGCATAGTGGAGAGAGTTGCTAAATTAATTTCGATTAGAAGATTATAATTCATTTTTTCCTTACTTCGTGAGATTATTTTCATGAAAGTGGTATATTATTTATAGCTTAAGATATATTTTATTACTATAGTGTAAGCTGTATGATTTAAATTATAGTTATATACATTAAAACTCCACTTTTTCTATTTGTATTCAGAGTTTGATCATTTATTTTTTTGTGATCATTTCACAGTGGCACACATTTGTTTTCGGAGACTCGTATTTTCGAAATTTATTTACTTAAATCTTTACTAAATATTGAAAAAATAATTCCCATGTTTTTCAATATATCATAATTTCTCTATTTTAAGCTTGCTTGTTGTAAATAAATATCTTCAAAGTATCGATAAAATAATTCATTCAAAAAATAAATCACATAATAATCATAAATCACATTACTATTCCAGCACGCCAAATTTTTATTGAGAAGTTTCTTGTCATACTTATTTTCGTTTTATATGAAAAAGACATCAAAAAAATATTGCCTGCATTTGCAAATTATTGTTTATTTAGCAAGATTTATTAACAGTTCCATATCTGAAGTAAACATGGAAAAGCTTTATAAAGAAACGATAGATTCTGTTAGAAATTTCATTATTCGTTTTTTTAAAGATGGTAAATTACTTTTGTCATAAATTATAGTAATTGTAATTAGAAGACGGTAAATTATTGTTCTTAATATCCAGATATCCACAGAATCCTCGATACCAGACGTTCTGTTACCTATGAGGTTTAAATAATGGAAATTGACTTGAACTGCTTAAAATGCACTGTAATCTTATAAAAATCAAACAAGACCTCAACATTGATGCCTTTCAGCAGCGGGATATGCAATACAATTTAATCCTGAAGCTGTTAGAAGACTCCTTAGAGCACATAGACAGAACGGGGGATCAGTAAGAAGTCAAAAAAAAAAAAAAAAAAAAAAAAAAAAAAAACAAGGAAAATACTCCCAAAGTTTCTAAAATCTATAACAAGCGGAGATTTATCTAATTGGAGCAATGTCTCATTTACAGAAGATTCAAAATTTTACACATTTTAGGCCGATGGCGAAGTACTCATTGTAGCGAAAGCCGAATTAAAAATTGAATACATTGACTATTTTAATACACCGGGAAAGGCACAACGATTTGGAGATGTTTCTCTGCATTTCGAATGGAAAATTTAGTTTTTATAGAAAATAATATGGATCAATATAAACACTTAATAATCTCAATAAAAACCTGAAATATTCACAGTAAAATTTAGAAGGCAAAATGCTTTTACGTTCTATCTGTGTAACAGTCTAAACACGCAGGCATAAATTTTCTTTTGAGGGTATTATATAATTGTCTTGAAATTATCAAAAATCCGATATCTATCAAAACCAAATGCAGTAAGTCTTATCGAAAATGTATGTAGTGAGTTGGAGAAAAGAGTAAGAAAGGATGTTATTTTTTCAAAAAACTATTAAAACGATTTTTACGGAGGAATGGAACAAAATGAATCGTTCTTACATGAAAACTCTAATTGAATACATGCCAAAGCGTATGAAAATTGCAATTTTAGCTAAATAATATCCACATAAAGATGAATGTCTTATTATTTTCATGTTTTTGTTAAATAGATGTTTAAAGTGTCCAAATATTTATGCGAGTTCGTTTTCAGAATTTTTTAATAACTTTTTTAAATCAAAAAACATTTTGGTTTTGAATAACGTTTTTTTTAATCAAATAGATTTTTTTTAAAAATTATCAGCAGTATACGGGAAGCAAAAGCAAAGTCACTTCGCTAATATTTAATAACTGATGTTTTTAAATAAATTTGAAAGACAGAAGTGCACGAAAGCAAATGTGAGCCATTGTAAGAGAACGTATTCATATTGGATAACTTATAGAAAATAATAAGTTTGTTTAAAAAAATAACATTATAAAATGATAATCTTATGAAAAAGAATATTTTCGATGAAATCAAAATATGCCGTATTTATTCATCAGTTAATTTAATATAGCATTTCAAACAAAATTTACTCGTATTTTCGAACATTTCGGCAGAAGAAGGGTTTTTGAAATTAAATTTATTCACAAGTTTTAGTATTTAAAAGCTCAAGTTAACTTTGAGATTACTTTTTTCTTTGTGTTTTTCAGGATTACTAAAGGCACTCAGCACAAATTTTAATGTTTGATTACTACAATGGAAAAAGCATAATTATAAGTATTATCAAGATTTAAGATTATAAATCATTATTTTTTTAGAATACTTTTAATACATTAAATATTTATCTATTTTCGTATTATAAATGCGTCAAGTCAAGTATTTAATTTAAATATTATTTGTACGTCAACAGCAATTAAATTTTAATACATTCCGAAATCAGAAATTGAAAGACATACCGTATATACAGCAAAATTTGATGTTCAGGGAGTGCACTGAGAAATTACGAGAATTTCGGGAGAAAAGAAGAGAGCGAGAAAGAAAGAGAAGCAACTAAACAAAACAAAACAAACAAACAAAAAATGCAAAATGTCAACATGCTCACTCGTCTGTCGCGTGTCTTCGTTGTGTAATTAGAAAGCACGTTCAGCTAGCAAAAACAGAAAGTCCGGAGTCCGAGTTCCGGTGAGGTCATATTTCATTTTTCACTTTCGTTTTCAAAAAAAATCCCAATTACTCAACTAGTGGTGCCAATTTAAATGTAATGTACAACAATTCTCGTCATTATCAGGATTTGGCTATTAAGTCCTTTCCTCTTTAGTTACCTCTTAAACAAGGGAGAGTGTAAGGAATTTTCTCCCTCTTTACCGAGCTCTTTCGTAGTGTAATCACATCCAACTAGCAATCGGAAGGTCCCGAGGGTGATTCCTGGCGAGGGCATTGCACATTTTTCACGTCTCCTGCTCCTAAATAAATGCGTAATGGTATCTATTGATATAATTTAGAAATCAGAATATTTTTTAGAGACAGCTTGAGAGGATTAACGTAATAACAGTTGAGCTAGATGCTGAAGTGAATCGTGAGCCATAAAACCCAAACAGGGCTACAGACGTCATCAGTTGTCACTAAAGAAAGTTTCCTTATATCCATTTATGTGGAGAATATCGAAATACCTGTTCAGTTCAGTTGACGATGAATGGGAACACCTTTTCTTTAACAGAGATAAGCAAGTATTATCACATAATCATCCTTCAGTTAATCGCCTTTTTCCTGTTACACTGCATAATTTAAAAGTATAAATTTTGAAACATGTTTACACGAAAGAAATACAAAAAAAAATATAAATAAAATACAGTTGCATTAAACAAAATGTTATAAGTTCATAGCATCCATAAAGTTCCATCAAACATTCATAAAATCGAGCATATAAATAATCATAATGTCTCAATTATTCCTTTACAACTTTTGCTCATACAATAAAGTTACTGTGCGTGAGCTTATAAATAAAATAATAAAATTTTAAAGAAGAAGTAGGTGTAACTTTTCTCAATGCAGCAATAGGATTCATAAATCTACAAATTTTAAAACACGATGTCTTTGTTTAATAAGCAATCTTTGAAAATAATGACGTTAGCTGCAGAAAATTTAATAGAATATTGTTTCGTTAAGAGACATTCTATTATACTAATCTGGAGATTTATTGTCCTCACAGACACTATGATTAATACTAGTATATCTATCCTTAA